TTTTTCATAATATGACCACAAAAAATTATCAATAATCAAACCTTAAATATCTGAATTTATAACCTGTCGTTATTTGCACTTGGACTATCTTAGAATAATTATTGCTCTACATGTAAAAATCATGATCCATGACAAATTCTATTGCTAGTTCTCTGGTATATTACAGGCAGAGAGAGGTTCTATCCACAGTAAATGGTTGAATAGTCACCTCATCAATGAGGTCCAAATTTGATCTTGATTGCCTAGTGTTGTCACTTGCAATAGGACAAGGCTGTTTTACTTTTTTTTTTTTTTTTTGACAAGCTATTCAATTGATTACAGTTCGATGTGTGACTTTATTAGAATTAGAACTTAATTAGGAGATATATATTATTTGTATTTGGAAATATTATATAATAAATAAAAGAATTATAAGTAATTGTTCGTGCCCTAAAAACATTGTATAGGACACCTACAACGTTGTAGCCCAAAAAGTCAAAGATTTAGGAAGAAATCCTTGTATCGCCAAGAATCATACAGTGATGGGCTTTCAAATACATCGATATTTGAGATTTTAATACACCCAAAAACCGATTTTTGCACGCTTTAAGGGGAGACATACTCCCTTCCTTATTTGCCATAAAAGAAGACCCACCAAATTTTTTTAGTTGACCCACAAAATAAGGTAAGATATGGTGGAAACACAAAATCGCCAATAATGTCGTAAAAGCATCTCTAATAGTTTTCTTTATTTTAGACAGTTTTTTTTTTTTTTTACAATAGAGTATTTTTGAAAAATTTAAAAATAGGAAGTAAAATATTTCAGACAACTCCAATGGATTTCTTATTCTTACAAAAAAATAAAATAGTCTTCTAGTCAAGAGCCTTTAAAGAACAATGCATATGTATCATCTTTTCATTTATTTAAAATAAAATAAAGAGTGAGTTAGACTCTCCAAATGTAGAGAGTCAATTAAGACTCTATTTTAACAAGTTTAACTAGAAAACCTATTGGAGGTTAATTTTTTATGGCTAATTTTTAAATAGAGAGTTAAGTAAGAATAAAGAGCTTATCAGAGATGCTCTATGGGGAAGGGGGATGAGGGGTAAATCAGGTTTTGGGTGAAACACTAAATTTCGAAAGATGATATTGGGCCTCAAATCAAAAGATTGAATATATCTAAATTGTTGTAACAGATTGATAAGTTGAGGATTCAAAATTTGTTATACTTTATTATATAAATAGTAATTTCAATGACAATTCAAAAACTTTTTCAAAAGGGGAAGAAAACACACGAGGTAGCTCTTAATGTTCTCCATCAAATACAAAAATTTTGCAAGAATGAAGTGACCTATACAATTAGTGAGATTAGGGTTGTCAAAAAAATTTGTAATCAACAATGTTTTGGCTTGTCGAAGCTCGTTTGTACTAAAAAAATAAACTAAAAAAATGATAAAATTTTAAACTCGTCTAAATCAAGCCTAAGCAATGTGCTTTTTGGCTCAGTTGGCTTGAGCTTTTTTTGAGATGAAAAAGTAATAAAAACACCATATAGACTTCTAATCAAAAGTTGTGAGTGCAAGTTTCAATAAGCATGTACTGTTTGGATTTACTCGCTTTTTCCCCAGCCAAGAGGCTAAGCTCAAGCCTCACATAGTATAAAAACTAGTTAAGTCGAGTTCGAACTAAGCATAAAATCCAGAAATTGAGCAAAACTCGATAGATGATCTTGATTCGAGCTTGAACAAGGGATAGTAAACTAATATCACGCCAAAGCACCATATGAAAGTTTGAAAAATCTGCTTGATTAACACCTCTATGTGTATGGAATCATGTGAATGAAGTTAGCTCAAGAGGAGCTTAAATAAATGAGGGATGACTTAGAATGGAGGAGTTGGAAGTACCTTGCATAACTAGGTGCGATTACGTATGTGATGACACAAAAAACCCTCATTATAAAACTAAGAATAAGATGGACCAATCTTATTAAAATAATCATTTGTATTGTGTCTTGTTTAATGTAAAACCCATCTCTCCCATCGCCCAACACCAGAGAAGGAAATCGTCCACCCCCCCCCCAACCCACATACTTAAAATGGCTAGTCCATTAATCCTCTTATTGACCATGAAAATGCGGGTCAAATTCCAATTGGCAAAGTCAAAATTGGTTAATGCAATTCACATTGTAGTTAGGTCTGTCAAGGGATTGGGTTTGGATCGGATTCTGACTGATTTAAATTCGAATCTGACTTCAAAAGTTTGATCCAATCCAATCCGATATTCTATTGGATTTTATTTTTGTTGTCCATACCCAAATTTGTTAATAATTTGAAATTCGATCAAAAAATTAGATTCGATCCGAATAACTTAATTAATTAAATTTTAACAAATTATATCTAAATTTCTTTAAAGAATCATTTAATTTATTTAATATTTATATAAAAATATATAATAATTCAGATCGAATATATATCCATCTAAATCCGAATTCGTGAAATATAAGGTATCGGATTTAAATTCAGATTATTAGTAAAAAATATTAATCAATATCCAGTTAATCAAATTTGGATTCGAATCAGATCAGAATCTAATCTATTAACAACCCTAATTGTAGTTAATTGTGAACGAGATGAATAACAAGAAAGGGACAAGCCATGTATGTTATTTAAGTACTCTCAGCATAGTCTTGTACCTAATAAAAGCACCAAAGAGGAAGAAAAAAAAAATCATGTAGGAAGTTTTCCCTCTTGTACACAATAATAGACTTTGTTTATTGTACTATTATTTTTAAGGCATTATACGGCAAGACCTGAAGCTTCCGCGAAGTATGAACTTATCCACATTAATGGAGTGTTGTTGACCAATTTTTTGTGCCCCTTCTTTAGATCAATTGACCTAGGGTTTCACGTAAAACTGCTAAGTTTTGAGTACTCCGAACGCTAAATTTGTAATTCAATTGAATTTTTAATAATGCAGAACGAGATTCTAGTGCTTTTTCATAGATTTAGAATAATCTATAATGGGATTGTATGGCAAAGTTGTGGCAGTTTTTGTTTCTAAATCATTTTGGGTATTATATATATGAAAATTTCACATCGGATAGAAAAGAAGTAACAGTGACCTAATATACTATAGATGAGTTCACTATCTATAGAATTAAACTTTAAATTGGTTTGAACCAAACATTTATATTTACTTTTGTATAATTGAATTTTTTGTCAGTTAACAAGTGGTATTGGAGCTAAAAAGCTCAAAGATAAGAAAAATAATAAACCAAAATAGGATAGCTAGCAAGTGCCCTACCAAAGTGCAATCCCACATAATGGGTAGGGTTTATTCATCTAAAATTCAAATAAAAAAAAATCACTCTGGCCTTCGGCTCATTTGACTTAAATTTGAATCCAACTCTTATATGAACCCGAATTCTAACAATCTCATATGAGAACTATTGTTTTTTTTTAAAAAAAAAAAAACAATATCTTGATATTGTCATTAGGTCTCTTCTGGCCACTGTTCCATTGTAACATTATCCAAAGGAAGGATCCATTCATTCAGGCATTGAAAAAATAGGCATGGACCAGTAAAATTGTTTGCATAATGTAATGTGTGCAAGCTTTGACAATTCAAAAGGCAGCTCTGATTAGTCAATCCAAAACGCCTGATCAGATCAACCTGTGTGCTGGTTCATCACCATGGTCATCATCCTCATCAGTCTCTATGACAAGAAAGAGGATCAAATAATGGTTATTGACTTATAGACTGTACAAAAAGCATGATGATCATTCTCATCAGTCACTATTCCAATCTTCTGTACAGAAGAAACATGATATTGCCGTAATGGTGACTTTATCTTCTTGTCCATTTCATTTTCCTCGCATATACTTTGTAACCAATGTCTGTATCTTATTAGTCCTCTATGCATGAATGGGTCTTTCCACTTGCACGTGCTAGGTAGTATGATGCACTTAAACCCTCACAGGTAGTCGGGTAGTGTGGAGTTAGTTCGGAGTAAATCCTAAACTCATACGCTGATGATTCTCGAATTTAATCGATACATGTGAATAAATGATGATTGTTAAGTATCTGATATTTACTATACAGTCATGTGTCTAATGTAACTTAGGAAGTAAATATTAGGTTTAACAGTTACACCAAATCAATATTGTTATGTGATGTAACTGTCCAAATGATAACTCAATAATTAGCAAAATGGAACTCACTTCCAAATTACCAATCTAGGATAGTAACTGCCATTAATCAAAAAAGTAAGTTCACTTGCCCACTTGTTTGTTTATCATTGGACGTGACAATGTTTACACAATAGAGGGTTTTATTTTACCTAATTGTTGAGTTATTATTAGACAGTACACCACATAATAATACTGATATGGTATAACCATTACTTTCAATATTTACTCGTAATTTAGAGTGTTTAACAAACTTGGAGAGGTTTTTGTTTTTCGTCATCAAAATGCATGGTTCGTATAGGTATAGATTTCAGCTAAATTATTCCAACTCTAGTCATAAGGTCAATTTAGTTTTCATTGTTTATAAAGATATATTGTTGACATCATAATTCACCTATAACGACCTAGGACATAATAATTTGGAAAATTTCACAATCAGAGACACAGCCATCAATTAGTTAAAATGCAAGTAGTTTTTCTACTCGAGAAGACTTTGGGTTCTTGAAGTAGAAGGAAGTGCCTGAGTAAGGTTGGATATGGGGTTCTGATATTCGGGATGGAAACTTCTATGAGCTACTGATTCAGCACAGGAGTTAGTTGGAAACTTGTAAAAAAGGTCTACCTCTTGACTTATGCGTTTCTCATAAAATAATCAAAGTTTCACTGTGCTTAAACACAAGTCTCAGAATAAAATGCACTAACCCACGCCACACCAAGTTCATTGAGTTTGAGAGAGAGAGAGAGAGAGATCCACAGAAACGCCAAAAAAGAAGCAAAAATACAAAGACTAGCCAGAGAAAGAAGCTTAAGAAAACCAAGAGAGAGAGAGAGAAATGGGGAGGGCTCCTTGTTGTGACAAGGCAAATGTGAAGAAAGGGCCATGGTCACCTGAAGAAGACGCAAAGCTTAAGGAGTTCATAGAGAAATATGGGACTGGTGGGAACTGGATTGCGCTCCCTCAAAAAGCAGGTAAGATCAACTCAAACAAAGGTCAACCCAACAATAAGAAGTGAATTTTGTTTGAGGTTTATTTCTGTGTGTGTGTGTGTGTGTGGCTACATTGGTGGTCTTGATGGGGTTGGTCTTGGATCAGGTCTAAAAAGATGTGGAAAAAGCTGCAGATTGAGATGGCTTAATTATCTGAGGCCCAACATTAGGCATGGTGAATTTTCTGATGCAGAAGATAGGGTAATATGCACCTTATATGCTAACATCGGAAGCAGGTACTCCTATTCTCTGCTTTAATTTTTAGTTATCTATTTCAAAATTTTTTCTTTTGGGGAATATATTTTGATCTGTGCTCTCCCAATTGACTTGAGTTTGTTCTACCCTCCTTCTTCCTTTCCCTTAGTTCTCACCAGTTTTTAGGAACAAAGAACTCAACGGACAAGACTCTGTGTGTGTGTGCGCGTGCGCCTTCGTGCGTGCGTGAGAGAGAGAGAGAGATGGTTGTTGAGCTTGATAATCTTGTATGTTACAAGATTCTGCCATTATTGGACAATTCTTGTGCATGCATGCCAATTGCCAAGTTTAGATCTAACTTGCAACAGACCAAAACCAGTACCCATTTACAGCTTTTGAATTAGAAACGTTAGGACTTTCCTTGTGGAAGAACTCATTTCCAACAAGTTCTTATTATGGAAATTATTCTTAAAAATTGCAGGTGGTCAATTATAGCTGCTCAGTTACCTGGCAGGACTGACAATGATATCAAGAACTACTGGAACACCAAGCTCAAGAAGAAGCTCATGGCCATGGCGGTTACATCAAACCAGAGAAAACCACCACCATTTCAATCTCCTCTTCAAGCCATACCATCACAATCTCCAACATTCTCTTCTGCACCACCACTGTACAGAGAATTCAGTTCATACAATTACACCCCCTCTAAGTCTCTCACAGGCCTTGAACCCTTATCAATCACTCCAAATCTTTGGAACACTAACAATGGGAACAATTCTTTTGTAACCAGTTATTCTGTTCTTCAATCCCCAGAAGGCTTGGTGAGTCCAATGCAGTACTACCCAGTGAAGGACAATCTCCTCATGTTTGGAGGAACAGAGGCAAGTTGTTCCTCTTCTGATGGAAGTTGCAGTCAAATCAGCTATGGCAAAGAGATCAAACAAGAAGACATGGGTGCTCTACATAGCTACTACCTCTCAAATGGGTTAGTAGAAAACCAAAAGTTCATGCTTGATTATGGCAGCAATAATGAAGTTGGTGATCATCCCAGTGCTTGGACTGATCAGAATCCAAATGGGTATTTTGGAAACTCTCAATTACAGTATGATCTTGAGCAGGTTAAGCAACTGATTAGCAGTACTAATGGGTGTAATAACAGCTTCTTCTTCAGTGATGAAAACAAGACACAAGAGAGGCCCATGTACTACCACTGAAAATGTCAGTTTGAAGAAAGATTTGAAAGGGCATGGTATGGCTGAGACGAGATTCAGAAAAGACATTAGTTTCTGGGGGATTGTGTGTTCAGATGGAAATGAATTGAAAAAACTTATTTTCGTGACAGTACATGGTAAAGCTTTTCTTTTTGTGCATTTCTTTTTGCGTAGTGATTATGTTATGTGTTTTGTTTGTACGGTTTCACAGTGTCGTTCACACCTCTCAAATACATTTCAGAACTCAGAAATAAAAATCTCATCAAAACTATCATTCAAGAGTCTGAGAAACTACTAATCAAGGCATGCACTGTTTTTCGTTTAAATATGCATATTGTTTGTTTTACATTAATGGAGGCAAGACCTCCACCGGCTGGATGACTAGTATCCAGACTCCGGAGCTTGGCGTGGGTTTGAGTTTATGTTATTGGGATCTAATTTATTAATTTGATTTGTTGATTTAATTCATTACACTCATTGAATTGATTGTTAATCTTATCAAATATTAAAGTTATTATTAATCTAACGATTACATTAAAATTATATTATTAGATCAACATATTACGTCAAATTTTTACGACCAGTGAAAATTCAATGCTAGCCTTGTTTGTTGTTGTGGGCATGAATATACTCGACTAGAGCTCCACAGAAGCTTATACTATTTCAAATAGTCAGTCCCAAGATGAGAAAGTTGCACATTAGAAAAACAAATTAAACGTTGGAAATTTTGGATTTTTGTGGTGGCTCTGCTCAAACTTTGAAAATTGCTTAATTAACTCGTAATCTCAGTCTCCTTCAAAAAAACTACTTAAATATTACACCCATTACCTATAATATATAAAAGAACGGGTATCAACTTCTGTATGTGGATGTTGTGTTATGTTTAGTTAATTCTAAAATAAAAAAATATAATAAAATGAGTTATAAATTCAAACGTCTTGAATTTAAATTTTAATAACTCTTTAGAACCAAGTCACGAGGATATCCCTCATAAATACCCTAGTCCCGAAGTAGATGACCTGCCTTTGACCAGACTAAAGAAAAAATTAGTCAAAATATATGTAAATTGATCCAAACACTGCTAAGTGTTAAAAAAAAAAACAAAAAGCATAAAAAAAAAAACATAGTGATTCAGACGCCTATCACGGCATGAAGCAGTGAGTCACAGCTAATGGTACCATGGGGATTAGGAATTGGGGATGGCAGTTAGATTAATTGGTTTGATTCATTGACCATTGTTTTTTGATTATCAAAGTACACTGGGTCCCGACCAGAGTTGACCCTTGTTTGGCACTATCAGCTTAGGTAAGCTGATCAATGTGATTCCAGTTGGAGAAATATGGTTTTTTAAAACAATGATTTCTTGCTATAGAAAATAATCTCTCGATTGCATTTTTTTTTTTTTTTGATAAATAAAAATCATGGATGCACTTGTAGACAAGGGGCTACAAGTGCACTTAAGATTTCTTACTTATTGCCTGGAACAAAGTCGACGTAAAGGAGATATTCGAAATAACATTTATGTTTGTATAAGAGATGATATAGGACAAATTTCGTATGAACGTAATCACTAATAAACCACGTTCATCGATTAAATATGATTCTTATAAAATCTAAAGATTCAAATTCAGAATGTATAAATTTAAGTATCGTCTTTTATTCGATCATTGAAATAATTCATGGGATAACTAATGCATAAACGAACGACCTTATTGGATACCATATTGGGAACATATGAGTACCATAGGTTCCTGCTAAGATTAGTGCTAATCTTAACCACTTCCAAGTAAGGACAAAAAAGATAATATTTTCACGTAAGTTAATTCTCCTCTTGAAGATCTTTGTTTAGCTTTCTTCAAGTTGATCCAAAAATAAGTGCTTAACACCTTCCAGCATTTTTGCTTTCCAGCACTCTTTATCACTTTTTCTTTTCTAGTCAGAAGAGAAAAGGAAAAAGAAGAAGAAGACAACGACGAGAACATAATTCATGTAACTCTCAAATGAAAATTCACGACATATTTTCTTAGAAACTCGAGAGAGAATTTTTTATTTTTTTTTTAGCCAAAAACTCGAAAGAGAATTGATTCTAGTAAAAGTATCATTTTGATTCTGGGCCTCCTTTCTTAGATGCAAAAGATTGAATTCAACACATAAAGGTAGGTTACATGAGAAGACTTTAAGAACAGTTATTTCGAATGATTTACCCAACACATCTGATTTGTTAAGAATTACACCTACCAAGAATTCGTAGTTGTGAACTATTCTCCCTTATCGAAAAAAAAAGTACACTAATTTTTTTTTTCTTTTTTAAGGTGGGGTATTGCAAGTAATTCCCCATACAAAGCATTCCAATGCTAATAATAGTAAAAGAAGCCGTCATGAAAGCTTCTTTTTTCCTTTTTTTTTTTTTTGTTTAACATTCAAGAGTGTTCAGATCAATTTACGCGTATTTTAAATAATTTTTTTTCTGGTTTAATCAAAGGCAGATCATTCACGTTAGAACTAGGGTATTCATAAGAAATAAATTCAAGATTATTAAGATCCAAACTTAAAACATCTAAGTGTATAATTCGTTTTTGTTCTCCCTTAAACTGTCCGTTCGAGTTAGTTAATGCCTCTCTTTTCAAAATGTTGATGAGGTTATTGACAATTTGTAAAGGAGGTAGTATCCTTTTAGGTTTGTTTATTCTCAACCTTCTTAAAGACGCAAAGGTCAAAAGTTGGTAGTCAAATGTACATTTTCTTAACATTCAAGTTATGTAGTTATCTAGCTAGGTAGATTATGAGAATTTACCCCGAAGCTTCCTGGCATTGGTATACGATTTGCTTCTCCTCACTTGTGTAATTGTGACAATTAAGAAAAAGTTAAAGAAAATGCTTATAAGTTGAGTATTTTTATAGTTCAAATGTGACGTAAAAATAATTTATTTTTAATTAAATAAAGATAAGACATAAACTTAGACATTTTAAACGCGAAATCTTACGATAAATGTGATTTTAAATAATTGAGTCCATCTGAATTCTTGTATCGTTCAATTTAAAGGAATTGTGATTGGTCAATTACCGAGAGAGAGAGAGAGAGAGAGAGAGACATTTTTATTGGCAAGGTGACAGGGAATCCTCCTTGGGAAGCAGCCTAAGAGGGTCCAAAATTACATGATCATCACAAAGATATGATGTCAGGGCATGCCGCTGCTGGATGGCCGTCACCCTTCTTCTTCTGTTGATAGACTTCACTTTTTTTTTTTAAATGTTCAAAATAATTTGTGTGTATTTTAATTAAATTTTTTAAAATTTTGTAAAATGCGGTCATTCATATCGAGACTAAAGTATTTATGAAAAATAAATTTCTAATAACTTGACTCTCAAATAATTGCTAAAATTTAAATTAAAAATGTCTAATTTTATAACTCGTCCTTATATTACTACTTGAACTATGTTAGGATTGTTAGACTAAACTTAAATCTATAATATCAAACATAACAGACTTTAATAAAATATTCAACGGTCTCAAATAAATTCATCTAACTGTAACCAATATTTCTCTTAAAATCATTCACATTATACTGTACTTTCAGATACGGATTATCCATAGTATATAAACATAATCGATAAAAACAAATCATAATTTATAACTCTGCCTACCCTACAACCATGCATTGTTTATAAAGAGATCAAATTTATTGTGCTGCCAACAATGTCTTTCGTATTGAAATTTAATTTAATTAGTTTAGATTAAAAAATTGATAAAAAATAATTGTTTTAGAGCTCCGGGCCATGGGGGTGAGTGCTTTTTGTAGGAATGTCTTTTCTGGTGAAGGGCAGAGGTCAAAAGCTGTGGATAGAGCACACTGACACAAGAAATTTATAATATAAAATTAAATTAATTTTCATAGATTGATTTCAACGATCACTAATAAATTTTTTTAAAATTTTTATATTATATCGTACCTTCAAGTTGGGCTATCCTTATTGTACATATATGGAGAATACTACAATACTTGAAAAAAATTTGGTACCATATCTATTACAAGTTTTTGAATTTGTTTATAAAAGTTTTTTTGAATTATATTATAACTTTTAAAATTTGAGTTACAATTGTTTTGGACCCGATTATCGCTTTGTGATTGATTCTAAAAATATAAAGATTGACCTTAATATTTTTAAAGTTGATCACAACTACCATAAAAAAGTTGTAAATAACCCTAAAAAATTATAAATAAAAAATTGTAAAATTTATAATGAATGTGAGGTACCGATTTTTTTTTTTCAATACCATAGACTTTATTTGTTTTGGAAAATATAATATGTTGTCAACTTACCAAAGGACAAATAGTCAATGACAGTGAAATTTTAGATAATATATAGGGTGTACTTGAAGATAAGGTATTTTACATAGGGTGTAGATGAATTTTTTCCTAAAATTTTCTACATCTTTGGTTCAGCTTTGATATATATATAATATAATGTCCAGGGATGAATATAGCCTATTATTGGAATAAAAATCAGGTTCTTTCTAGATACAACCTTCGAATTAGTGTTCCTTTCAGTGGACCATTGCTGCTGATTATACTAGCTAAACAAATTAATCAAGTCAAAAGCCATCTTAGAAACACCAAGGATAAAACAAAAACTAAGTAACATGGAAGTGGACATATGATTTAATGGGTGAGTATTAATTATAAATGTTTTTTTATTAAATTTTCTTCTTGATAGATCATCCACGATCCATTTGTATCCTCGATCCATTTGTATATAAGGTACTTAAGTTACAATAAATGATCTATTAAGAAGTCAAATTGAGAAAAAAAAGAGTTGGTAAATGGAAAAACACCGACTTAGCTTATTTCGTTGGATAATAACTAGCTATAATTGATAAGAGTTACCTATCAACATGGCCTCTAAATTATTTTATCTATTTCAATTAAGTCTCTGATTTATTATTATTATTATTATTTGTCAGTTTAGCCGTTCAATCTATTTTAATATAATTTTTTCGTCCACATTTGTCATTAACTCAAACAAAAAATCTCATGTGCATATCACGTGAGTCAGAGATTAAGGGTAATTAAGACAATACATGTGCACATCAGGTGAGGTTTTCCATTAAATTTAATTATAAATTAGACGGAAGGGTCGCATTGAGATAAATTACATAGTTGAGGGATTAAATTGACACTAAAATTAGTTCAAGGACTTAATTGACACAGATCAAACAATATAGGGACTATGTTGATAATTAGGATTTGAATATGGTACCGAAATTTAAAATTTTTGTATGATACCAAAATTTATCACATTTGTGATAACTTTTATCATATTTGTGGGTACTTTTACTATAGTTTTGGTATCTAAAAAAATTGTAAAAATAATTAACATAACAATAATAAAAATATCCACAAATGTGATAAAAAAAAACACCTACAAATGTAATAAAATATACCTACAAATGTGATAAATCATCCAGAAAAAGTAATTAATTTTTTGTATTTAAGAAAAGTAATAAAAATAGTTACCCCAATTATGATAAAAAAAAAAAAAACCCACAATAATAATAAAAACAGTTATAAAAGTGATAAATTTTTTAATTATAAAACGACTGACAAAAATTATAAAAAAACCCTTTAAAATAATAAAATTTTGGATGTATGGTACCAATTTTTTTTTTTTGACGGCACCATAGTCAAGTCCTGGTAATTAACTCAATAAGATAATATCATAAGAAAAGTTCAAGCATGGAGAAAATTGAATGAGTGGGGATTGGTAGTAACAATTGAAAGAAACTACTCGTAGACATTAAAAAATTAATTTCTATAATTGAGCTCAAATCAATTAGATAAATTATATTGGGTTAAACCTAAATTCCACAAGTCAAATAATATAAGCCCAAATTTAATTAACAATACTTGTCAAATTAAAATAAACTGGACCTAAATTCTATGAGACCAAATAATAGAAATTCAAATTTAATTAAATTGGTTTAAACTTAAATTTCATAAGCCCAAATTAAAAAGATTTTAAAGATAAATTGGGTTAAACTTAAATTCTATAAATCAACTAAAGCCCATAAATTTATATAAAAAGAATGGCCCACTACCTTAGCCCATATAAGGGTATTCAGGTAAAATACCCTTGTATTGATAACAATCCAATATACCAGCTTAAGTATCGGAAGAGATAGACGGAGATTGATGAGATTATTTGATATTGAGGAGTGTATTAATTGAATTATCCGACATTGAGAGTTGCACAGAGAAATTGATATTTTTGGGCAGACAAAAATTTTTTGAGATAAATTTTATATCATTAAATTAAAGTAGATAAAAATTGAGTTAATTTTAACCATCGTTGTGTTTTTATAAATTGAAAATCAATTTCCTAACTATAATATTATATAAATGTGCTAATTGAGCGACTCAAACGCATGCTAATTCTGTTCATTGGGCCCCCAAAGAATCATTTTCATCCTTTTGGGCCAAGAAATTTAGAAGTGGCAGCCCTATCTCTATTATGTGGCTACCACAATTCCTATGATCTTGGTTTTTACTAACCAATACTATGAACTTCCAGCAATTTGAAAAAGTTTACGCTACCAAATTTCGCCACCAATTTTGTTTCTTTCTTTCAAATATTGAATTTGAACAAAAAGTACTTTATAATATTTCCTTATTACGACACACATGAAAAAAATTGAGAGAAAGCAGCCGCCTCCGGACGACAGGGTTTTCCAAAAGTAATCGGAAAGTTTTTCTTTTGGATTTATATCTAGCTACTGAACGTGTATTTTGTCAAAATCAGCTTATTAGTTTTGGCTTCCAATCCAGCCCCAGATTGCTCCGAGACTTGTACCTTGTGACAAAATAAACAAATTCCCTGATCTTGCACCTTACTGCAAGCCAACTTGGAAGCATTCACTCATCCCGTTTGAGAAAGTAAACATATCCCAGGGTCCTCAAATTGCCAAAATTTGTCTAAACAGTAAATTTTTTTAAAAAAAATAACCAAAAATTATATCGTAATAATGAGAATTAGAAGACTGATTTCCCTAACACTCCCCCTTTTTATCTTCAAGGAAAAAAAAAAACACGCAATCAACAGCCCTAACACGAGGCATATTTCCAAAATTATCGTCATATAGACCATTATTTCCCTTCAACTAAGTGCTGCGGCCATAAATAACCTGCTTCATCCATATTTCTATAAACCTCCGGAAACTCGATGAGTTCATGGTTTACTAATGCATTTCTGAAACCGAAGATCCAGGCTCAAGCTAATTGTTGCTAGAACTAATGTGCTAGAATAAAACACGGTATGACTTTATTTAAATAATTTTAAAAAACTCAAATATGTATATCCTCCGCCTCTAAATACATTTACTACCAAGCTGAAAAAATTCACTCAGAGGTATTAAACAAGGGATTACCAGTTACCACCATCATCTCATATATGACCAACTCTTGTCAGCTAGATAGCAAAAGTATGGGAGAAGGCATACAAGCCATACTAAGTTCCATTTTCCTGCATCGAAAATAGCAGATTTCACCCATCATAATACATCAGAAATCCAATAATCTGGCCATCTTCCCCTAGTAGATATATGCATAATATCGAGAGAGAGAGAGAGAGACCACAGTCTAAGCACCTCTAGAGGCTAGAGTCTAGCTGTAAGTTCGCATTCGATTATTATCAATGTTGCAGCCCAAAACCTTCGTATCAAGGTCAATTTCAGGTTCACCAAGGCATCAGAATTTTGGATTTTTTTTTTCCTTCGAATAACTGTTCAACCTGAGACCCAAATAGACCAGTATGTGGGTGCTTGTTTAAGTTTAGAAACAACTCGGAGTTTGATTACCCAGACTGATCAGTTCGACTAAATTTATCCTAGTACAATTAAATGAGGTGCTGCAAAAGCCTGCCATTATAAGGAGAAGTGGGACTATGAAGTAGTACAAAATAAAGAACAGTGGTGAAAGAACAGATGACAACCCTTTAAGGGACCCCTGAAACAAAGATATTAATCAGACCCTAATATATAAAATCAAAATTTCGTACACATAAACAACAAATTTCACCATAAAAAGGCCAAAACCACAACTTTTCTTTTTCTATTATTTACATAATGTCAAAAATCTCACAAGCCACACTCCAACAGTTGAATAACCAAATAAAAATATAAGTTTCCAGTTAAAGAACAAAGGGGGTCATGGCCTGATATGAGTGCTAAAAGTATCAGGCTGACAGCCGCAATATTATATGTTCAAATCTGAGGGGCCTAAACTGGGTACCTTATTTAAAAACAAAGGGCTACTCAACAAGGCTACAAACCATTGTATGGCATCCACCGCCCATAAAATTCTGGAGGGAAAAAATTAAGACAAATTGGCAAAATAAAAACTTAAATTGTACATGCACAAATTCAATTAACCAACATACAAACACACTGAAGTTATATGAACAGATAATTTAGCCGAATATTCTACACAAATAACTGATAGTAGAAGTTTAGCTAGCATAAAGAGAATCTAAGATTTATTATAAAAACAGGTATAGAAAAAAAGGTTACCTGGGAAAGCGAAATACAAAAAAACTCGCATCAAGCAGCAGCACCCGTCACATTTCCAATTGTCTTAGTGTCGAAGATTTCAATCCAATAGCCATCAGGATCCTTAATAAATGCTATCCCTTTCATTTTCCCTACAACCAGGGGGTCATATCTTATGTCGGGAACTAGACAACCTTTTTTCTAAAAAACATTAATTCATCCCTCAATATAATAACCCACTGCCATAATAGATAACAGGAAAATTAGTCGGTGCACCATAATAAATGAAACCAAAATCGAAGGAATTTCCTACTAAACCATCGGAGTAGCGCGACAAACTGAAACATAGAATTGGATAACATGTGCATTTGTGTGAATCGCTATCAATAATACTTATATGTAACATCCAGGAACATAACTAGGTCCACCCCCTCCACTACATATAAAAAAAACTACCAGCTAGCAGGTTTATGTATAAAATTATACCCAGTCATCTGTACCTTAATTTCAACCAGAAACATTAATGCTGATTACGGAACTATTATAGAATCCTAAATTGATACAAAATTAAAAAAGTAAATATTACCATCATCAGGTTTTTTCACAAACTCCACTCCTAAACGTTCAAATCTCTCACAAGCCTTGTATGTATCGTCAACAGTAAGGCCTATGTGTCCTGTTCGCAAAAGGAGACAGGTTAGTGGATGTTGTCGAAGATCTAGAACAGAAAGAGTTGGTCAACATTTACTTACACTACGTAAGTACCGTAAATTAAAGGAAGTAGCATTACATGTCTAACTAAATACAGGTCCATTAAGTGTACAGAAAACTGGAGTAGAAAAGTCCTACAGTGGTCATGTTTGCAACACACCGATGATCATTTGAAAATAATATTACTTAATTTCCGAAAATACGTCTGTATAAACAATGAATCCAGTGTTCCAAAAATATGTCTGTATAAACAATGAATCCAGTGGTACCCTCTAACAAAAGGAAAATGAGATCAATCTCCATTTTGGGAGGGTGCTTTCTGTAAAACAGACATATGGTCCTTGTCTCATTACCTCTTATTACCAATAGGTGCAAAACATTGTACAACGTTGTCGTACAGTCAGTGACACGGATCTCACCTTTCCCAGTATAGGAGGCAGCTTTCCACAAGCCAGACATGCAGTTATTTTATAGCATGCAAGATCTTGCAAAACAAGAGCACAGCAATGTCACAATTTCACTACAGGCCTCGGCTAATACAATCTATACTTCCTTTTCAACTTCGATTTAAACAAGGGCAACCTACATTGTTCAGGGTAGTCAACGTTAAGCACGTGATGAAGTTTAGACATAAAATTCCCTCTCACAAAACCGTGAAAAGACTAATTTATGTTGAATCAGATACACTATGTTTCCACAGTGGATGCACAGAAGTACAGAAAAAAGCAATTGGCACTGAATCAAAAACAATCTAAGGTAGATGCTAGACACTAATTATGATAAATACCTGATTTATATTTTTTCAACAAATTCGAGTTAACCCATGAGTAATTAAGCTTCTCCACCTCAACTTGGGGGAAAACAGATAGAAAGAATAAAGAAAGAAAGAGGAATATCATCAAGTCAACGTTTAAGTGTCACACACCAAAGCCACGAGGTTCTGAATTTCCATTATGGTAGCCTTTGAATTCGGGATCAATCTCCGTCCCCCAATTACTGTGACAAGCATTTGACAATTAGACGTGATCAATGTGCCTGTGGATCAAGAAAAACAGAGAACAGCACAAAAAGGAAGTTCATACTGTGTGAGCTCAATTGTCGCCTTCTGACCAAAGGTCCATGCAGTACGCTCAACTGGATTGATTGGAGCTGATGATGTATCCTAAACAACAGAGAGGGGATGTGGGGAGCAGGAGGGGAGGGAAACACCATTATTATAAGAAAAATAATTAGATAAGTCTGCCCTGTACAACCATTTAGGCATTGATGGTATTACAACTCCCCACAGAAATGATATTTACTATTTTACCTCATAACCCATAAAATACAGGCTAAATTTCAGCTCCGGAAAATCTAACCTCTTCAGCAACCTGTGATAAAGATAGAAAATATTAACATGAAAATATCATAGATATTAAAAGAAAACACTCACATATACATAACCCGTGGCAGATTTTCTCTGCCCCCTTTCCCCCAAAACCCTAACAAAGGGTGGGGAGCCTACTATGAAGCACGGATGCTTCAAACAAGATGATGTATTTGTATCCGCTGTGTATTGGATACCGGATACCGATATTCATCGGATACTTGAGGATACATATCGAATTCGTTCCGGACATATTGAATAATTAATAAAATATTTATCAATGTTAGATACTTGTCGCATATACCTTAGACACACATATATCTCCACGATGAATACATTTGTCTTATACTTAGCGAGGTAAGTTGTTTAGAAAGCGTGAATCATATAAATGGAGATTCCTCATTCCAAAATGTTTATTTGGACATGCATCACATATTTCACAAAATTTGTCAATTCTTTACCGATTGGTTGGCTTGAATAACGAATTTTTATGGCTTATGTTAAAGCGAATGAAGTTTATTACAATTAAATGTTAAAGTAAAAGTTAAGAACTCTAAAGAGGTGACACCTTTAACTTTAGAATTACATAGAATTTTCAATTTAAAATATCATTAAGCAGTCCTATGTCAATAACATAAATTATTTTAATTTGGGTGTATTTTATTTTTTAATCCTTCCTATCCCTAGTGTTGTAATAATATTCTAATACACACACACACACACACACACACATATATATAGACGTGTTCTAACCGTATTCGTATCCTAACCGTACCAATATCCTACTATTTGAAATTTTGGCGTATCATTGTTTTCGTATCCTGTGGTTCCCATATTTCATATTTGTATTCGTGCTTCTCAAGGAGCCTATGAGCAGGAAACAATGTCAATAGAGTCTTGACTCTTGAAAGAAAGTAGGGAGGGAGAGAAGGAGGGCACTAAAGCAGTTACATAGCCACAAAGCAATGGTTCAATCATTCCCTTGAATTTATTCTTGCTATATCTAACTTAGGAAGCTCTAATAGGAATACGAGATACAGATATAGCACAATACGACAAAACCTCAAAAAATAGATGTTGGAACATGCTTGATATGTCTATAAAAAATATATTAACTAGTTAGTTTTCTTAGAATATTTGCTACTAAGATTACAATGTAATTAACTCATTGATATTCTTTTGACATGTGATGCCCATTTATCTTCAAATTCATATGAATATTTGTTGATTAAATCATATGTGAATCCGAAAAGAGGTTTAAAAGATTAATATTAAAAATTATACATATTGCTCTGCATGTTAGAAGTTTTCACGAAGTATCTGTATATTTTATTTATTATTAGATATGTATGGTGCCTACCCGATACAAATTCTCAAGTATCTAACGAGCAATAACCTCGTATTTTACTGTACAATATCAAAAATTGAACTGATATTGTAATATATGAATTTTAAATAATAATTTTGTTTTTTTAATTACACAGTTTGAAATTAAAATAAAGAGCGGAAAAAAAAATTTAGGATGAATTATGTACCATTGGATCAATCTTGACAGTTGTTGTGCCTTTATAAGTTGAGAATTCAACATTCTAGATGTAATATTAGATAGATATATCACCCAAAATAGTAGAACCAAATTAGATAAAATATCATTATTTACAACTAAACAGAAACTCTTCGAGATAAGACAACTTACGACATGCCCAATACGCCAGAGTAGAAATCAAGACTGATTTTCGGATCCTTAATCCGATACATCTGATACGAAAAACACATCCAATCATTTGAAAAAAAAAATTAAATATACTACTAAAGTCACACCCATATGAATGATTGGAGAGATGTATTGCTTACAGTTTGTTGCATAAAGTATCCCCTGGTAGCTTCATCTGGGGTAGTGTGAAGGCCCGGGTTGTTGGATGGAGATTCTTTGGAGTCCGAAGCCATCGATGACGTTATGAATCGAGACCGAGTAGAGGAAACCTGCACAAGTCAAGGACAGATAGAAATGAATATGAGACAATCAGTTAAAGAAATTGAATTGGGGGAATTGAAGCAACAATAAACAGGTTTGTGACCTTATAATTAGGTTGGAGATTGAAAAATGAAGGGATTGAATACGAAAATAACGAAGATAAAGAGGGAATGGTGGTGACTCGGAGGAGAGAGAGGCGAGCTATGGAAGCCATTTTGGCTATACTTTTAACTTACCTTTGTCTGAATTTAGAAACGAGACGAACACAGTGACTGTGTTGAGGAATGGATGAGGGGTTACATAATACAACCACGTAGGTTGGAGTCGTTGGACCACTTGTGGGGTCACTATTTTTAAATTTTAATTTCATTTAAAAATGAAAAACAATATATTAAATTAATAAAAATATCACATTATTGTGAAGGCACTAAAGACATTTTTTTCATAAAACAGTGAGTACTCTCTTGTGCAGGGGAGCAACTTAGGTGGCTAATCCAAGTTCAACCCGAAGCTATCCCCAAAAAAATAGTATTTGGGTTAAAAAATTTTATACTTGGTGAAAAACATCAACTCAAATTGAATTTAGACAATACTCGGATTAAAATCAGGTTAGAGCTAGAATTAAAGTTGAAGATTTTATATATAAGATTAGACTAGATTTAAGTTAACCTTTAAACCCGGCTAACCCGCCCAAGTTGTATCCCCTATTCTTATTTTCCTTTTTTTTTTTGTGTACAAGGTAAACACTAAACATGGCATGGACCATTTAATTATGAAAAATTATATTCAAATCCCTTAAAATTTATTACTTAATCATCTAGACTCTCTAATATTCACAATATTATACACAAACCCCTATCATTAATGTTGAATAGTAAATTATATCTAAATTCTTGAAATTTAAAGCATGTAATACTTAAATTTCTCAAATTTAAAATATTATATTTAAACCAAATATATTTTAATTAAAGATAAAATATCAAATATTTTAAAATTTACAACTAAAATTTATATTCTATTATGTTATTTATTGAAATAAAAATCCAATTTTTTTTTAAAAAAATCATAATTAGTATTGTTGATGCAAAATTTAAATGACCTCTACATTAGTTTGTTGGGTTTTAATCACCTTAAAAAGATGTTGGAGACAAGAGGGGAGCTCTGAGGGTCGACTCTCTGATATCTAAGTCAATAAATGACTCAAATGTATAAACTACGTTTAGAAGTTAAAAGTGACAGACTTGAAGCATCAATGGAGCTCTAATTATAAGAGTTCCAATAATTTGAATTATATAGGGATAATGATTAATGATCTAGTCAATCGTAGAAAAGATCCTCATCTTTATATGTTAATTTGACATTATTCATGCGATTAAATTTAACTTATGCATGATATGTAGAATCCTATTCAAATTAAAATTCTTGACATGATGGACTGGACTTGTATTAAATGAACTTTTCACTTTAAGTCAAATCTTTTATCATCAAATACGAATATATGAAATAAGTCTAATTAACATATTTGCATATTCATTATATCATTCATTTACATAAAAACCAAATAAAATACTAACTTTTTAAAAAAAATATAAATCAATATAAATATATCAAAGAACATAATTAAACACTCATTTACATGCAATTATACTGTCTACCGGATAAAACTAAAAAAAACCAAATAAGGAATCAAACTGTAATTGATACAATATCTTCCATCTTTAATTAGGATAATATGATTATTTAATAGATTCAGTTAATTTCATAACTAATAATAAGGGTGTCAAATGTGTCGAGTTAAACGGGGTTATGAGTGAAAAATATGTAAACCCGTACACGACACGTTTAATAAACGGGTGAAAAATCTCAATACAAACACGACCCGTATAATAAATGAGTAATACAACGCGACTCGTTTAACCCATTTAATTTTAAAAAAAAAAATTTATATCTACAAATTTGAATACTCAACTTTTTTTACTCCACTTTTTTATTGCCAACTGTACTTACCAAGAGAATTTTCTAGTCAAATATTATATAAAAATCAATCTTGAAGGTTAAAAAAAAAAAAAAAAGGCAAGAGGTTATGCCTTTTATAGGCAAGTCAACCCTCTCTATCTTCCCTCATTTGTCGATGTGGAACAAAAACAAAAGACATTGGTTTGCCTTTATCTTTAAACTACTCCTCCTCTTCCCATCTCCCCTCCGTTGCTTTTGAAATATTGATTTACTTTTTTTTTTTGTATTGATTTTTTTACTTCTTTTTTTTTTGGATAATTTTTTAAAATAATTATTAATTTTTTTAAACGGGTAAACGTGTGATAATTGATTTGACAGATATTACCCGAATACGAGCCGTTTATTAAACATATCTGACTGGTCAACCTGTTTACCACCCAAATCCGTTAAGATCTTACTCAAACCCGTTTAATTCGTATCAATTAATCGTATCGTGTCAGATTTTGACAGGTTTAATTAATAAAAGGTGTAAGTGTAATATTTCAAATTTGAGAAATTTAAGTATTACATCCCTATAAGTTTTAAAAGGTCTGAGTGTAATTTACCATACTAACGGACTTTAACGAAAGGATTTAAGCGTTAAGCGCATACAAACTTCAGGAAGGTAAGTGTACAATATTTTAACTGCCAGTGACAAATCTCAAGAAACTTAAGTGTAACTTTTCCTTTATTGAATTTTGTCATAAGGTAGTCAAACTTACACCGACTACTCTCTCAAGTTCAGCGGCTGATCATCGTGTTACCAAAATATGTCAAATATCACGAAAGAATGGAGTTTACTTCCTGACAGTTGGATACCTCATTTAAGTATTAAGAAAATCTCACATTAGAAGCTCAATTGAGATTCAATAATGCTATTTAGATCCAATTTGTTAATATAAATTATTACCATAATTCATTAAAATTATTGGAATTGTTGCATGTCCTAACAAATATTTTGGATCTACCGTCGATTCAATAATTATGAATAATTAGGTTAATAAATTAAATCCAAGTACCAAATATTACTAATTAAAACATGCGTGACAACAAAAAAATCAAAACAACATACATTAAAAGTTGGTGAGAATCTAAAAAAAAAACCAAATAATAAAGAGGAATGTTAATCAGACATAATTATCTGGCATAATTTACTGTGCCTAATGATAAATCCAATTGTTAGAACTCAAGATTGATCCAATGATACCAATAATGAAATAGATCAGATGATTATGTAAGAAAATTATCTTACAAACTCTGAAGAAAAGTATTATTTATGGCACTACAACCTCTCCCTCCTAAAACTAATACCAGTCAAAATCTGCTCAGTATTGGGTATTCATTGCAAAAAGTAGGACAAGTTTTTCACTTTTTTTTCAGATAGTGTAGCAACCTATCCTTTATGAAGGAAAAGGAAAAGGAAAAGGCAAAGAGAAAATGTCAACAACACAGCTGTGCTCATCTCCAAATTAAAATATCTTTTCCAGTAGTTCAGCTGGGCATGACAGTAGAAGACCTGCCATCCACAAAATCAAAACAATATATATATATATATATATATATATATATGTAACAACAAGTTACAAATTCATTTAATCACTCCTGCACTGTGCTAGTGTGTGTCACGTGATTCTACTGTATTTTTTTGCACTTAATTGGGTGGATAGTTGACCGGAAGAGAACTTCCATTCAACTGGCCAAGCAAGCAGGCAGCCGTGCTCCTCTTTTGTGATAACACTAGAAAGCAAGTTGCTCATTTGCAGACAATGAGCAAAGCACAGCATCAGGGCGATTCAGCAAGACAGTGACCCCTTCTAGCATAGGCATGGTTGGTAGAAGTTTTGCCATCCACAAGACAAAGCAACCGCCATGCATACAACACTCTGAATCTACATAGAAAATGAGGAGAGCACTTTCACAGTATTGTAATATTCAATTAATTCACTACCTAAAATCATAGTACAATTTATAAGAAAACTCAAAATCCTAAGGTTTCCAAAACAGAAACAAATCCAGTCTTAAGAAAGTTTACTAAAAACAAATAAACACATGCCTAATGAATTAAAAAAATTGACACGAATTAGACAACAAATACCTCTAAATTATTCCTAATGAAAATCTCATCCTAACAAAATAATAAAAATAGAAAATAAAAGTAAAATATGAAAAATAGTAATTCTTGTTCTTACATCAGTAAAGCAAGGTAAGATGAAGAAAAACAATCAATTAGCCGGTACAAACCTTCCCGGAAATAACATTACTTAAAAATGTCCCTCAAAATATGTTTAGGAACCTTAGGCTTAAAAAGTTAAAAACTTTCAAACTGAGAACAAGACACAGATGTGTGCTTCACATGCTCTCCCAAATTTCTTGTAATGTTGCTGATCCTATGAAGATTCTAAATGATTTAATTCGTATAATCAATGAAACAAATAGCTTTCAGCAAAAGCCGGTCTTTACTTCAAACTGAAACAAATTATTAGCAGCAGTGACATTGGGCAGCTTCAAGTGGAAGCTCATCTACTAAATCCCTACACTTAAATTTGAGAATACATAGCTGAATGCTAAAAGCCAACTCTAGATATCCCAATGCAAATGTTACATTAATATGTACGTTAGAAAGAAAACTCAAAAAAAAAAAAAAGAAGGAAAAGAAAGAAAAGGAATGTAGCTTGTAACAATGAAAAAATAAAAAGAAAAGAAACCTTGCATCCATTGGTGAAACGATATCTGTCACTATAACAGCTCATGTTAAATTTTTGGATGGGAAAAGATCTGAGATGTGAAATGGAAGAAGAGTAGAAACACATGAATTTACGTGCTTCGGCCTATGAGACCTATATCCATAGACATAATACCCCGAAGGGCTTTCACTACCATTGATATCTCTCAAACAGTACATCGGATCTCTCTTCCACTACTCTCCACTACAAAATCAAACGAGGATCTTTATTTGCACCTTGTTGTATCTGATCATATTGCGAGTGCAAAGAGAGCTTGGATGGGAGCAAAAGCCAACCCACTATATAAGCAAGACATTAATAGAGGGCAGCACTAACCCTTGTATGCAATGTTTGAAAATAAATTAGGCACTATTTTCGGCGCAAACCGTTATAGTTCTCACCAACCTTTCTTTAAAATCTTTGTTTGGCAAAGCCAATCTATATGGCACAATACCTATGTGGGCAAGGAGATTGGGAGATTGTACATTAAATACCACCCAAAAACAGCTATCAAGAGCCAAACACTAGCATCACTACCGAATAGATGGAAGAA